TGAAAATCAATAAATATTAATTTTTTTTTTAAAAATCATCCGCTATACGTATATAAATAAACAAGTTGTGAAACACGGCACCTAGTAAATCGACACCCTGGCGGTTTCAAATGTCGATTTCTTACCTTAAAATGCGGAACAAAAAGTGCATTAGTATTAGTAAATTAGTATTTATTGATTTTCAGCCCCCAAGTGACTGTGCTATAAACTAAGTGTAGGGGGACGGCCATAGAGTGGTTTGCGTCTCATTTGGGGTAGGATTCAGGTTGGGGGTGAAGGAACTCTTTCCAGTAATTCTGCACTTCGTGAAGGCATTTAATTTGGGAGGCAAAAAAAGGACATCTGAATGAAGTTCAATCAAGCATGGAGGTAATAAGAATTCTTATTACCATCAATCAAGCATGAGGTTCAAAACGTTCTTTGTTCTTCTCGTAAGTGATTACGACACGATTAATTAGCAGTTCCGCATATGCTAATTTCAGACTTTACCACCCGAGACGTAAAACCACAGCGCATTGTCAAACAAATGAAAACGTGCAACTGTTAATCCCCGTGTTTGCTACCAATGTAACAACATATGCGTAAATATTACGGATTATAAAAATACACGCACAATTAAATTTAAAAACATAAAAGATTGACGTTAAATGTATAAACATTTCAAATGAACCGACTAGATTACATGTTCGCTTTAGAGCATACACTAGGAGTCATTCGGGATTAAAAGTCAGGGAGTGGCAAAATGCGTTTAAATTCCACGATGAAGCTCGTTAGTAATTTCCGACACGAAAGTAACGGTGTTTGCCAAACTAAGAAACGCAGACTACATCCACCAACGCATAATATCTCATTCGGACATGTCGACTTACCTGTATTAAAAGATTTCACAACAGCACATCCACTCAAAAACAACATCAGTTTCGCGACATGAAACATGACTTTCCCCTTCGCCATCTTGAATGACGACAACTCAATCGAGGCCTGAGCAGTTAATAAGCTTGACGAAATATTGACAAATAGTAAGCCAGCTTGATGAAAGTGAGTGGGTTGAACCATTATGCTAAATGCACAGGTCCCTCTATCATAGAAGGACTGTGGCTGATGCCATGTGCAACCTAGTTATTTTGATGTTACTGCTAATTTTCTTCTTCAAAATTTGTTATCGATAGCTTTCGCGGTGCATTTTTTAAACAAAATATCTCGTTACAATTGTTTTTTCCAGTCCCGGCTCATAGAACTAGCGGGGGCCCCTACTGTTAGGGACAAAACCTAAAAGTGGGTGTCACTGAGCCATCAAAAGTGTCAACATTTTTATTACCATGCATTGAAAAAAATCCATGCCCATACTTATAACCACAGGGAGCCCCAGAACTATAATCAACTGTAATACGGAGTTTCTATGAGCGGGGGGGGGGGGGGGGGGTATCGGCTTGGTATCTAGTGTAAGAAATAGACAAGGGATGAAGGCTCCAGCCAGCTCACATTTTTTAAACTCGAAAAAAACAGACGAAAAAAATAAAAAATAAAATCTAAAAAAAATACCAGGTTGAAGAATATTAGTTGCTTTTTCAAATTTCGCCAAAGCCCTACCTAAATTTTACCGATATCTGCAAGAATAAATCAAGAAAACTACACAAATTTACTCCATTTAGGAATTCCTAACGGTTTGCCCGAACGCAGGGCATAGTTGGAGGCGTGGCCTGTTCAGCATTTGTCAACAACCAATCACAAAGACTGGTTAC